ATGCCTTTCAGAGTCTTCTGAGTGCAAAGACCAAACTGTCCACCCGAGAGAGCCATCCAGAGCTGTGGCAAATATGAGAGAAAGATTCAGGATCAGAGCTGGCCCTGCACTATCCTGCTGTTTTCCTTCAAAGGGACAGGCTCTTGTGGCTACCTGGAAATTGGGTGTTTGTTATATCCCAAGATTCAAGAACAGGAGAAATGGTAGAAATTCTTTGTCCCTTCCCCACTAGGGGGAGCTGTGCAGTTAACACAGCCGGCCTCCATGCAGCTTCCTCAAAAGGCCACAAAGGAAGTTTCCAAGGTGCCTGACCTTCAGGCTATCTATCTAAGTTGAGTAAATGTGCTCATTTATGGCCCAATAAGGGAGCCTCTTGGTTCTGCTGGTGCCAGGCACAGTAAGCTCACATTTTTTATCTCCTGGAGGTTGGTTCTAGTTATACATCCCTGAGGTGAGGACCATCTTAAAGTTGGGGTGAGTCATAAAAGGCTTTACAGAATTCTCAATCTAGGACTACCAGGGATCCCTGGATAAAGCAGTCTGTTCCCTCTATAAGCCAGAACCCTGTGGGGAAAGGGCTAAGTGGTAGGGTTAAGGTATCCTTAACCCCAGCCAAAGCTGGTAGTTTGTTAGAATTAGAACACAAGTCTCCTGATCCCCATCCTCCAAGCTCCCCAACACTGTACAGTTCAATTTACATATTTACCTTGTCCTGAGGTACAAAAACAGGAAGTCATCTCCACCTACCTGTTGGTGCAGTTGTTATCATTATCTGTACTGAGTGCTGCTCAGGAGAGCTCAGGAGGGTGATATTCACTGTATACTGGGTTGCCGGGTACAAATCCAAACACACTTCCAGAACTCGTTCCTTCGTTGTGAGGTTAAAAGATGTTCCGTGATAAAAGTTATCCAGATACCATCTTTGACCCAGAACTTTAAACTGCCATGAGATTAAAAGAAAGCGCTGCATTAAATTTTCTGTTGTCTTGCAGATGTCTAGACTATAAGCAAAATGGAGACAAAGCAAGAAAGTTTCATTTATCTTTACCTATTGAGAATTATTTTTAATACTAGAGTGAACTAAACTGGGAATGTACTTACTAGAGTTATTTTACCTTACCCATTGAATTTCTCTCTCAACCAGGTATAAGACTATGACTAAATTGCGTAACAGACAGACTAATCTTGGATGAATAAATACATTGCAGAATAATAAAATCTCTTGATGCCCACTCAAGTGAAAAGGACTGGACTAGAGCTGTTGGGCAAAAGTCTTTTGCTTTCTTTTCACTGTAAGGAATCCATAGATGAGCTTCACAGTCCACAGTACTTAAACTTTTTCAGGACTACCCCAGATTTTGCAGTAACTGTACAATGGGACTTCAGCTGTTCCTTCCCATTAGAGCTCTAGCGAAAAGCTTTTCATCCACAGAGTCATTCACCACACGTACTGCTAACCAATCACACTTGACTCACCGCCACTCAAGCAGCAGATACAGAGAGTTACAGGGGAAGATCCCAGAAGTCAGATGATTGGCCCTGGATCAACCAGTGCATTTTATCTGGTGGAGACCATGGGTTTAGTGTTGGCATTGATGCCAGTATTCCTGGCTCTCCTACCCTTCACCCCTCCCCATCCCTGTCAATCACTCTCTTACTCATCAGTCTTCCAGGTCATTTAAGACCTTGACCCATGGTTCATAAGGATTCCTTTCTCCCCCAACTCCTTGAATTCTCCTAAATAACTTAAGTGTCCTCATAGATTAGCCATCAAAATGTGGCCTCAGAGTTCCTTGAACTTGATGCTATGAACTTCCTCCACTCCACTTCAGTCACCTCAGAGCTGCTCCCCCAAGATCTCACAGAACCCTTC